ATCTTGCCAGCTGCCTGCAACATAAAACTCACGCATATGATGAAATGCGGGGATTGCCATATCGCTCCCATCATCTCCCAAGCAGACTTTGTCACGGGACAGGCACTCAGACCGTACCACCAAAACCAAAACCAAAAGTGTAATTCGTATATTTAAAATCATGATCTCGCACTGAGTGAAGTGCTGGCAGCTGTATCGTGACTCCCTTTCCGGTGGGCAGCCACCGACCAGAAGGTCTCTGTGGGAGGCAGCAATGGGTCTTGCGGGACATCGAGCTCTAACATGGTGTTTCTGTGTGTGTTGGTGCAGGTCCCTCTACATCAACCTGGTGGGCCTCTGGGCGATACTGGCCTGCGCGGCGCTGTGTGGACTGGCCCTCTACTCCATCTACAAGGACTGCGACCCGTGGACGGCAAAGCAGGTGTCAGCACTCGATCAGGTAGGGCCCCACGTGTCAGGGGAAGGTGGCGAGGGGGCATCCTTCCTCTGCAGCCATAATAACCAGATGGAGGGGGTTCAAGAGCCAGGGAGTTGGGAGTGCCAGCATTTTGTGAAACTGCTTCAGAGAGAAGCGAGGGGAGGAGGCTGCCACCGGGGACAGCTGAAACAAGCAGTGCCTGCGTGAGTGACTGCAGGCCCTTGCGAGCTGCTTTTTATCACCAGACCTAAACTGCTCTGTGCCAAGTGAAGCAAAAGCCTTTTCAGACTCAAAACATAATCGTGCCCAAAGCATATGCCTGGAAGAAGGCTACCAGCAGGCAATTCTTTGCTAGCCATGGTGATTCCTTCCCTCCTTCGGAGGAGAGCTGGGCAATCAAACCGCATCATACCGTGCTGCAGAGAAACCACCTTGTAACTGATGGGCAGCCTCTCCCTAAATAGGCCCAGAGCAGGAGATTTACCTGAGGAAGAAGAGCTCTGGGAACCCATAGACTGACCAAAGTCAGGGCCCATGGAAATCATACAAGTGGTCTTTTTTTTTTTTGTATGTTTATGCCTGGGATAATTGTAGGCTCTGGATAACTCCCCATGGACAATAGCTGGAAAGCCAGGAGAGGAGCACAGACAGCAGAGTACCTGAGGCAGAACCACCTGGTAGAATAAGATGAGATATGGAAAGCCAAGGTGGAAACCCGAAATAAATTAAGTCATTCCTGCCAGGTGGAAACTGGAAGCAAGATACTAGAAAGACCAACTTGTCTATGGAAAAACTATGGTTCACAGGAAGAAAATAGTAACATCTGTCTCTCTCCAGCACTCACATCTTGCAAAGGTCAACAAATGGCACATGGTTTCCATATGGCAATTGTTCTCAGGTACCCTGAGGTTACTGGACTGTATCTAAAAACCTTTTTGTGGAGTCAACAGCAGACATAAGCATCTACTGTGGCATCCAAGCCCAATAGAGTGATGTACAGTACAGACTACCTGCTGCCCAGCGCTAGTTTCCTATACCATCGTCACTGGAAAGCAAGTCTGACAGCACAGCTATAGGCTCACCTCAGTTGCATGGTCTACACAGACTTTGCTGTATCCCAAGTGGATGTCTTAGGACTGGTTTGCTCTGTAAAAAAACAATAAATAGTGCAAGATGGGACATTCAAAATTAGAACAGCTGGGCAGAATGCCAGTGAGAAGGCTATAACAAAAATAATACAGTGAAAAAACAAAAAAGTAGGGCAAGATAGTAATATTTCTTACTCTCTGAATTTTTCAGCTAATGCCATACCTAGTGCTGGATATTCTCCATGATTTTCCAGGAGTGCCAGGGCTTTTTGTGGCCAGTGCCTACAGCGGAACATTAAGGTAATTTAATAATTTGGAACCCAGTGTCTTTTTTTTTTTTTTTAATTTTTTTTGTTAGAGCTAAAGTTGCATTTATACTAAAACTTTTGCATTTTATTTCTTTGTCTAGATAATTTTTGCTCTTTAAAAAAAGCACTATATGCTCTTTGATGATGCAACTTAAAAAAATCCAGAGTTTCCAACAGTGGCCATCTGAGGTCTTAAGACTCAAAGCTCTTTGGAGTTCCTTACTAACAGTGTGAGGAAGGAGCTAGCCACACGTGATGTATGGCACTAACAAATCCTCCTCTCTGTGCTTTTAAAGCCCCTCTGCTACAAGTGTTATAAATGGCTGGTTACACAAAATAGCTACAGTTTGGGGGAATTTCCTACTGCTCATCTTTAATTTTCCAGTTTCAAACCCACATAACTTTAAAGCCATCTCCCTTTCCTCATCCCTGATCTTTAGAGTCTTGTTTACAAAAGAGTTTCTGGACTTCCAATTGTCTTGAATGAACCCCATGAAAACAACAATCACTGTCTATTTTTGCTGAAGGAGACAAATCAGTCCCCTTCTGTCCCATAGTGGGGAGTGTTTTGTTCAGCTTTCCCAAGGAGTGTCTTTTAGGAAACATCGCCTCTCTCGAGGAAGGCTCTGAACAATAGTAAGCAGATAAAAATGAGGAAACTTAAGAATGTGACACCAAAATAATTTTTTTGTTCCCAGTACTCGTACCTACATAAATACATGGAACAGCCAAGATATTTGTTTTTCACGCACTGAGGAAAAGCTGGTGGCTTGTGGGAGCAAGGTACACATAGACACAAGATCACCTGACTGGCTTTGTGCCTTAGGAGTGCTGGTTTCTCTGACCCCACAGGGAGCCTGGAGTCATTCAGTTTGGACTAGATGCCTAATTTTTAGATGAGTATAATTAGATTATCTGAATCCTCCTCTGAGAGCACAATCAAAGTAACTAGCGACCTGCATGTAGAAATTTTACCTACCCAGATATATACCGTGTAGATAATTTCTGAAGGTATCGTGTATACCAGTAGTGGTTACAGCTTAGCCACATGTAATAGGTATTTTCATTGACTTCTCCAGGCCCATCTTTTCATCAAGATTTGCCTTATCTTCACTAAGAGCAATTATTTTAAACAATTTTTGTAAGCTATTAACTGCATCACCTGGAATAATAAGTTATTTCAACCAATACAGCAGTTACATTAGTTTTCTGACAATGTTCTAGACAGTGGCAGTTTCTCTCTGCCAGTAACCCATCTGTTATCTATGGTTTCAGCTTCTAAGATTAAAAAATTGTATAAATCTTGCCTTCTGTAGTACAGTGTCCTCCAGCATCAATGCTCTGGCTGCCGTGACTGTTGAAGACCTCATTAGGCCGTACTTCAAATCCCTCTCTGAAAAGAAGTTGTCATGGATTTCCATGGGGATGAGTATGTCTGGAAAATACCTTTTCCATTTTTGCTTTACAAAGTGAGGGCTTGATTCAGATCTCGCTTATAGCGGTGCAAGTCAGGAGTAAGTGCATTCACACTGATAGGACTACATTGGTGCAATACTTGGGGGAGACAAGATCAGCTGCGTAGGTTTTACACAGAATGGGGGCAAGCTAGTTCAAGTGAGCATAAAGGAAAAAAAGAAGCCATCTTGTTTGATCTTTAAGCAAGAAAGATGCACTGCATCTGTGTTCAATATTGATTCGCAATACTACAAAGCCAAATGTCTCAGACTGCAACAGCTGTTATTTTTCTTTCACCTGTCAAAAATGAGAAGCATAGGAAACAATTTTGTATCAAATCTTTTGCACTGAGTGATATGCAAGCAATAGCATTGTGTCCCAATAACATTCCAGAGAACAAGAAACTTCATATCTTCTCTGATATATACCCTCAGTCTGTTTAGCTCCTCTGTTTAAGGTAGCTCAAAGAAGAGGGTCAGTACTAGGCTGAGCAGATGGTTTAAATCTCTGAAATGCAATTGCTATCTCTGCTAGTTGTACTGTCTGTGACTGGCTGCAGGTGTAGCCCAAGACAGTGTTTGTAGTAAGCGTGGAAAAACCACAGTCCCAACATGGTGTCATAGCCACACCAGTAAGCACAGCAGACTGCTGGCAGGTGACAAGTATTAAATATTTTCACCTTTCTTAAGAGAGCAGTTTCTTAAACATTATTGCAAACAATGTTTATGCCAAAATTGTTGTTGGTCTTATCATGAGTTGCCCAACATTATTACATTGAACAGTAGGATTAACCTATTGCTTGTGCAGTGAAACTCAACAGGAATGGAAGTGGAAAAAAAACAAATAAGCCAGTGTTATGGGTCCTGGGAAGAGACACTACACTCTAGTGACCCGAGATACTCTTTGTCACAGCGCCAGCTCCCCAGTAATCTGCCAGCATTTACTTCTCGCACAAAAGACTTTAGCCTGCGAAGCAAAAATCATTTCCTTAAAATAAGGACTATGACACAGGAGATTAGCCGAGAAATACCAACAATCCATGTGATATTGCCACTATGGCTAATCCATATGGCTGCCATTTATTAACTAATCTTTAGTAATATACAGGAAGAGATTTTCATCAAGTTTGTATGATCTCCTCTTAATGTAAATAGAAGCCTGACCTTTTGGCTAATTCAGACTCTCTTAGAAAAAACCAAAAACTCAGATGCTAGCAAGTTTGTTTTGGAGATGTCAGGGGCCATGCTGGGTTAGATGGAAACATTTCCATTAGTGAGTTTAAAAATTTGGCAGATTTACGCATCATTCTGCCTTTCCCACACAGGCCTGTTTTATGGTGGAGTCTGCATTGCTATGGCTGCACTGGCATCTCTCCTGGGAGCCTTGTTGCAGGTAGGTGTCAGACTACTTTTTCATGCCCATATTGAATGACCCAGAATGAATTATGTAAGAAAATAATTGCTGGATACCATTATGAGATTGATTTTTCTTCTTTGTTGGGTACTGGCCTCAAACAGCCCATGGTTCAGGCTCTGCTCTAAGCACCCATTAACTATACCAAGTTGTGCCAGCTGAGTACACACCAGTTAAAAAACTCAATTTCCTTCTCAACATCTTCCCTTTTTGCCATGTTGGAGGCTTTAACTTTCTTGCACAGCACCTGATAGCAGACTCTCTTCCTTCCTCAGGCAGCACTCAGCATTTTTGGCATGGTCGGTGGCCCCCTTTTAGGACTGTTTGCCTTGGGAATCCTCTGCTCCTTTGCAAATGGAATTGTAAGTAGAAATTTAAAGCCCTGTTCATCCAAAATTCATTGATAATTTTGGGCATCTCCTTCCCCCTCCGCTCCCAATAATTGTGTGTTGGGCAGCAAGGGAGATGTCTTTGATACTTTCTGTGAGGACATTTCCCCTTGCTCCCTTTCCTTCTTATCCCAAGGAAGTGATGAACAGGGCTGTATAGGAACTTGAATTTCAATTCCATGAAGAGATTTACATAACAAGAGGGGGGAAAAAGAAATCTGACTGAAAATGAAACTTTGGCAAGGATTTCTGGAAAATACAGTTTTAGAAGCAGGGAACTTCTTCTGTGTCTTGAGATGTAGCTGGACAACCGGTGGACTCAGAAGATGCTGACCTGTCTGAGCAAAAGGGGGTCAGGGTGGGAAAATTGAGCCCAAGCACTTGCAGACTGAATTGGGGTGTTCTCAGAGTGCTTCACTATTGTGAAATTATAATTTCTAGAGGAAAGAGCTATTCCACCAAAAAATGGATTTGATAAACATTGGGAATACGGTCCATGGGTTAGTCCAACAGGATTGCTGTTTAGTAAGGTTCACTAATCACTAACCTTTACCTCTTTGTAGTTGCAAATTTTATGTATGTACCAAAAAAACCCCAAACCACTAGCTGTCAGCCAAAAAAACCTCACCCTGAAATAGAAGAGACTTTTGCAAAAACAAATCACATGAGAAAAAGGAAAAATTGCATCTGTATTTGTTCAAGGAGGGCCTCAAATAAAGCAGTATTTTCCTATATACAATGCAGCCCAAAGCTATCCTTTGATTGTAAAGGCATAGTGGCAAAATTTTTAAAAAGAGGTATGCTTGGGAGCTGTGAATAAACGCTGTATTTCCCAAAAGGGGAATGAAGTAAACTCCCCAGCTCTCCCCAACTATATATTTCTTTTTTGCTATGGAGCCTACAGTTTAGATTTATCTCGACTGTTTCTAACTCATCTAGGTGGTGGGGTTTTTTTTCAAATATCCTTTTGCTTTTCTTGTAAATCCAAGTTTCATTTTCTGTTTTGCAGGGTGCATTTGTGGGTCTTGTCAGTGGCTTTGTTATTTCACTTTGGGTTGGAATAGGAGCTCAGATTTATCCTCCACTCCCAGAAAGGACCAAGCCACTATATCTCTCAACTGCAGGCTGTAATATATCCTCAGAAAATTTGACATCAACAGAAATTCCCTTAACAACAGTCTTCAGCACACCAACTGCAGAGAGGTATACAAATTCATCATGTGCAATCAACAAAGCATGTATTTGTTTTAAAGGAACATGAACATCTGTCTAGCATTTGGGTTACTATAACTATCCATCCCTGGTCTACCTACCAGGCAGTTTATGATGAAGTAGTTTGATTGGGTTTTTTTTGTTTGTTTGTTTTTTTCTCCTTGTCAGAGTGCTGTTTGAGTTATCCCAGAACAGAAGTCAAAGTGAATCTTCCTATTGATCTGAAAAGCTTCAGTTCAATATTTGAGTCTAAAGGCTTGGATATGCCTTACCAGGAATCATGGTGTTAAAGAAAGCATAACTTTTATAGTTATTGGATTAACTTCCACAGTCTGTACATGAATTAAAGTAGTAGGCAGTTAAAGGGCAATTTGTCAATTTAACAGCTCCACCACAACAGCTTGTCTGTGCAGAAATAGTTCTATTCAGGAAATTCAGAAGTGGGCATAATCTGTATAATGGGCAAAATATAAGGGATTTTCTCCCCTCTGCAATTACCATATGTCTTACTTTGGACAATCATAATTAAGTGTAACAGTTATGAAAGACAATATAGGGAAAAGCAGGAACAGAAGCCAAACACACACATTTCTAGGGATTCCCAATCCTTACACCTTAGAACACTATACCCTCAGCAACAGATACTCTGGCACACTCATGGGTGCCCAACATCCAGTTTCATATGCTACACCTCTCACACGAGGCCTCCAGCATTGCTCATGGTTGCGGGGACGCAACAGTTGCAATGAAGCACGTTGTCAGGGAGAACAAAATAAGGTGTCACCTGAGGTGTGACAGTTGCCCTATTGTTTCTGGCTGTTTAGAGTTGCACATGGCTGATGTCCTACTTCTTTTTTCTGTCCCCTTCTTTAAATAATGTCCCCCTTTATAAAGAGGTTATCCCTTCATCTGGATACCTGGAATGCTCAGCTCTGCACTAGATTCCTAGCAGACACAGGACCGTCCTGTTTTACCTGCTCTGTCCCATGCGGTGCCTCACTGTACTGACCAGTCTCCTTCCCTATAAAGGAACCTGTCCTGCAAATTTTAACAGATTTTCAGTGCACATTTTATTGTATGGAGGTAGTTTGAGAGTACCAGGTCGCTTGCTTCAGAAGTAAGTCTGTATTTATACACTGTCGGGAAACAGACATTTTCAAGCTGCTTGGAATAGGAAAGCAGAGATTAACACTTTTTCTGCTCTTTTTCAGGCCTGCCCTGGCAGACAACTGGTATTCCTTGTCGTATCTCTACTTCAGCACACTTGGGACACTTATCACAGTAATCGTGGGAATAATTATCAGCCTCCTAACAGGTACTAGTTCCAGAGCTGTGATTTAATGTGTCTTAGATCTCTTTCAAACTAAGATGTCCAAACTGAGAGCTCTGATCGCCACAGGAAGTGCCAGTGACCCTATTGCAAACGTTGTATACAGGTTACCATCCTAACTCACATTTCTTCCCCTCAGCCCTTCTGCTTCCCACTCCTGGTCTCTGCCCACAGCAAATGTTACTTCAAATTTCTAAGGAAAAAGAAGTTTCAGCAGTTTTTTTTAACCTGAGGGGCAAAAAAAAAAAAAAAATACATGTCATCTGTCTTTTCTGTTTTATTAGATGTCAGCAGGGGCTGGAGGTTTAAGGGTTGTCCCTGAACATGGCAACAACTCCAGGCAAGGAGATACACTCATGCTTCTAGAGGACAAAAGCAGTTTTACTCTGAGTGAGTTTAGAGCACTCAAAGGTTATTGTCTGCACCTGTAAGTGCATGCTGTTCACCACATTCCCCAAGCACGTACCCAAGAGCTGCAGACCCCGTGCATGGCTATGTTAGCTTCTTTCTCAGTTGCCCTGTACTATTCATGCAAGGGACAAAAAGCAGCACCCCACAGGTAAGAGCAGGGACTTCAGTTCCAGCCCGTGGCCTCACTACTTTTGCATCTAGGTGAGGTGCAAAGTGTGCCTGTCATCCACCTCATGCATGGCAGAAGTAGCACAAAAGCAGCTGCTCTCACAGCTTTCCCCAGGATGCCCAGCCAGATTCCTATGACAGCCCTCATCTTTGAGGCTGTTAGATTTCAGACCTGGTAGTCTGACCTACTTCAGGACTATGAAACTCCAAAGTCAGCAGACAAAATTGCTTCCATCAGCTTCCCTGTGCCCTGCAGCTAATAAGCACAAGTTAGACTTCTACCATTTTCTTTTCTTTGTGAGTTTCTACAGGATTTGCTCCCCCCTTTCCACCCATCACAAGCTCTTCCTATTGCAATAGTGGTGCTTGTAGACAAATTTTGCCTCTTACCAGGTTAGGATCAGGTCATCCACAGGCCATGAAACAAAGCACAAAAACTGAGCAGCTCAGTAAATCCAGATGAGAAATCCTCAGCTCAAGAAACAGAAACCCAAAAGAAGCAACCCAACCACATCATCACCCTGCTTTTTGCAGAGGAAGATCCCATTTAAGCCTCAGGTGCCAATCAGAGCTAATTCCCAGCACCTGCATCTCCTTTCTTTCCCACACCCATTCCCATACAAGAATGATTAATCTTCCATGCCTTAAAAATGCCCAAACATCCTATTAACCCTCATCCCCCACCTTGGGGCTGCCCTTAAATAACTCATTATAAAAATTGCTTGTGACTCTGGAGACAGGAGTCTTGCTGACAGGGAGCTGAGGACTGGGGCTCAGGCTCCAGGGCAGCGCTTGGTACCACAGCTCCTGGACTGGCAGGGTGGTCCCAGCTATCATTGTATGGGATTCATCCTTTTCTGATTATTGTCTCAGTGGTTTTTTACACAGTAAGAAATCTGAGGAGGATCTAGGAAACTCTGGGAAATGGCTAAGGCATTTCAAGTGGACCTTGAGGATGATTTTATATTTTGAGAGGTGCAGGGTAATCATCGTTGTAAAGAAATAATCTCTAAGGCCTGTGAGTGCTTGATGGCTTTTGCTGCATGACTCTGTCCTGCCCACCTAGTCTGGTGCCTGTAGCTGGGCTCTGACATACCATTTGCATGTGGAAACCTGGCTGATTGAAACCTGCCTGTTTTGCAGGAGGACTGAAGCATAGATTTCCTGTCCAACTTCTCATGGTCTAAATCTGAGGCAGTAAGTGTAATTATGCATCTCTGATTTAAATCAGTCTTTCCTCCTGGGGACAGAGGCAAAGAGTCCCTGGCTTATTTTTCCCACCAGGATGAATAGCACCTGATGCTGCCTGATACGACTGTCTGCTTTAAGGCAGTAGCAGAGCACAAGGCGGGTAGGAGTAAAGCAGTTGGCATAGGCAGGGAAGCTATGTTTGGCCACAGCTTGACTTCAGTGAACAACAGAGCAGCAGCTGAGACAAGGGACGGTTGTTCTCCGGGTTTCTGCCAAAATACTCCCTCACTAGTCTCTTGGAAGCTGGCCCAAGGCACACTTTGGACTCAGCAAAGCTTCCTTTGTTTGTAAACATGTGTTGTCTAAAGTCTGGATTTTTTTGCAACTTCGGCTACTGTTTGAGAGAAAACATTTCTAGTCAGTGTATCTGTTTCCTAGCTCCCTCCCTAAGATACAAGAAAAGGGGAGACATTATTGGGTAATAACATCCCTTAGAAGGGAGAATGTAGGGGAAATCTGAGTTGTTTTTTCTTTTTAATAAACTATACATCTCTTTTCAATCAGTATCATCAGGATGCTGAACATTCAAGCTCCGCTTTGTCCAGTGTTTTTCAATGATCATATCTTTGAGATGGTCCAGTTTGCAAAATGTTTCTCCCTCACGATGACAACTCCTTTATTATGATCTCATGTATTTCAGCTTCTGGATATGAACACCAGGGAGAGAAAGGGCTTTTTACAATACTATTGTAATGCTATTTGCCCATGTCAGGACTAGAGACCAGCTATCCAACTATTGTCATTCACTGTCTTTAACGGGCCACCATCTGTTTTCACTATCTATCTGGGAATTTAATCCCTGAAGTAAAAAAACCACCCACATGGAAGCTAATGTCCACAGCCACACTATTTTCTGCCTGCAGTCAGAAACAAGTGTCTGCCTCGTTATAGAGCTGGGAGCTGGATAACATGTGATTGGCATCACAAATAATGCAGAAAGTTGTTGAGAAAAAAAATCAGGGGGAAGTGAGCAACTTCTGCACATGAAGAGCTCAACATCTCATTATGATGAGCAAAGATGGAACGTCAAATCAATGATGCATCTTAATCTGCTCTTCATGTCAAAGATGGGGCAAGGACCAAGGCTTGGGAGTCAATAGCTCAGGGACCTGGTGGTGACAGATCGCTAGACAGGAAAACAGCAATTAGAAATTTGCACACCCAAAAATACTTCATAGATGCTTTGCAGGACAAGAAGATTTTATGTGGCAAGAACATTTTACACAACTAGTACCTTATGCAATAAGAAACTTTCCATGCCCCTTGAAAAATACCAGGTACTGCAATGAATAACTATTTATGCTCTGTCAGCAACCAACACGTGTTTTCCTGCAAGGTGTCCTGTATGTCAGGCCCAACTCTGCTTGCATGCAGGTGAAAGAGAGGAAGACTGTTTCTTCCAGTTCACAGCATGGCTTTTGTCTTTTGTTTTTTAGCCAGAGAAAGTGCAAGTGTTGAACTGGAAACAGTTTACCGCGGCAGATGAAGGAACTGACAACCCTGCTTTCAGCCACATTGAAATGGATGTTGCAAGCAATAAGAACAACGTCAATGGCCTTCATATATGACATGGGGTTGTGTTGCCCCGCAAGGACAGTTTTGTTCATGTAAAACACTGTTGACATTTCTGTGCTGGGTCAGTTACCAGCCCTGCTGTGGTCACGGGCAGGCGTCTGCTGAGCTTCATGGCACTGTCACCCTTGCATGACCTTGACATTCGTCAAGAAAGGAATCAGGTCTTTCTTGCACTTGCGTACTCTCTCTCTCACTCTGGATCTTGGTGACAGGGCTTAAGGCAATGTTTCTATATGAAATGTTTGCCTGATATTCTTGAGCCTCCTGGAAAATATTTGCTTTCAATCTCAGTTCACTCTCAGAGTAAATTTTTTATTTGGTAAGAGCACTGTCCCCCAGACATGGCTGCTTTTCTGGTTTCTTTTTTTTCTTTTTTCTTTTAAGGCATTGAAAGCATGAAGAGGTTAGGGCTGTGGGACCTTATCAGATTGCAGGAAACAGTGGGTGTTTTTTTAGTGCAGGAGGTATATTTAGTGCCATCTGGTTCCTTTATAGAACTGATCCCAAGAGCGTATTTATTTTGCTGTTTTTGTCATATATGTTTGTTTTTATTAAGCCACTTGTTCCCTGGTTACCTGCATCTCCTCCTCTGCACTCACTTCTGGAAGCTACAAGAGTGTCTTTGGTGATGGGCAGAGGCAAGAGTCAGTTATATCCTTCCCTTCATGCCCCATCTCCCTCTTCTGCCCTGCCTTGCCCTTACAGAGCTGGTCCTCATGAAAGAAACGAGCTATTTGGGCTTTTTATTCAATGCCATATAGCAGAACCACGGTAGTCTTCTACTTCATTCCCAGTGTGCTGGCCTAGGACTGCTCTTGCACTGGGCTGGGTGTAGGGCAGCAGAGATGTTAATGCAAGAAGAGGGCCCTCTTTGCTCTACGGGACAAGAGAGAGAGATGCATCTGCAGTTGCCACTGCTGTTACCTGTGGAGCTATGACATGAAACCTCATGTAGCCATTTGTGTTTGTGCAGTCCCTGGTGTCGCTCTGGGGATCCACGTTCAAGGTTGGTCCAGATCAGGCAAGAGCACGTCGTGTGTTTTGGCAGGCACAGTCCTCCGGGATGGGGAAGGTATCGCAGAGGCTGTCATTTAGTGAAGGCTTCTCCAGGGCATGGGATGGTTCATCCTCTGGCAGGGATGCAAAGAGAAGCTGAACAGCACATCCACTCCAGACCACGCACTGTACTTCTGGTTTGGGAGAGTGAAAACCCCCATTGCTTCCTTCTCCTGCGTGCTTTCTGGTACAGCAGGGAACAGTGACCCACTGTGTTGTTTTTGTACTGCAGATTTTTTGCTATGGCTATACATGGGTATTTAAAACTCCTCTACAGCAGCAGAATTGAGTTGGAAAATAAAAGCCATTGCAGGAAATTCGAGCTGTGAAGCTTATAAAGCAGTCATGCTTGAGTATCAAATGAAAAACTGACTGTGTGCCTTAAATGCTTTCTAAAAGTTATGCTGCATTTGTGCCAGGTGCTGAGCTGCTGTAACTTGGAATATGACACAGTGCTGGTTTATCTACCTTGACTGGGGCCCTTTAGCATCTAAATCAATTTATTCCATGCTCCCGTGACAGAGGGCACTTGATGATCTACTGCATAAGATGAACTGACAGGATCAGAAAATGTTAGGAAGAAAAGATGAGTTCCAAGGAGCAGACCTCTGCCAGAGGAGTACCGGCCAGACAGACACCGTATGGGTTGTCCACTGACTGAATGAGCTGGCTATGCTTCTCAAGTCTCAGAAGATAAGTGCAGCTCATTCAGCCTTGTGCCTTGTCTTCATGACACAGAAATAGATACTGCATTTTGTGCTACAGAATAGTTCTTGAGTTCTGGAATATAATAATTTGTACTTACCAGGTACTTTCAGCCCACAAATCTGAAAAAGGGTAAGTACCGGTATCTCCACGCTGCTGCAGAGTGCTGAAATGGACTGGTGTGCCTCTGTGTACCTGTACTTTACAGCACAGAGTAAGCTGTGGGCAGAGCGAACAGAAGCCTGTAGCAAGCCCTGGACCCGTGTGCCTGCTGGTACGGCTACAGCCCTCCCAGCAAACATGCTGAAGTCTCATCTGAATGTGCTTCTCAGGAGGGTGACTGATCACTACTGTCTTAAACAGCATCAGCCTGGCCTTCGTTGCACCACTCTGTGCCGAGATCACTGTTGGTGCTGTAATTGATACTGCCTTAAACCGCCTTGCGTGATTTGTGACTTCTGCCTGTTTTGTTCGTGGAGTGAAGACTAATCTTCCCAGTTATCATAGTTCAAAAACGTAGCACCACAGAGTTTTCTTCTCAGTGCTTTGAATTCACAGAGTTGTTTAAAACAGAGGAAACACGTAAATGACCGACTTATTTTCACTTACTGCTTGAAGTCACTATTTGAGCGCTGAGCAGTCATTTAACTCTAATTTTGATATGAAGTGAAAGTTTACGCCAGGTGATATCCATTGGTCCACAATCACAACATCAAGATGAGTTTTCACTGTGGAGAATATCTTGCTGGAAGCGGTTTAGAGACGAACATTCTTAAGGTTTGCAGATGACCCCCACAACTACCTATTTCTTGCTAACTAACCTCCCATGATGGCTGCAGAGCTACAGAGTGACTCTTTCTGCTTTACTTTTTTCTATATGCTGCTTTTTAAAATTAAAACCATTAATTTTGAATAATATTTTCTCTGGGATCATATACTGTCCTCTGCTACTTGGACTCTCAGCCAGGGCCTTGTCTGTGGAAAAGCAGCAACATAATTCTTGGTGTCTCCATCACACTCCTGTACCCTGATCCTTCATCTCTCCCAGCTAAAAGCTCACCCGACAAAAAAATCCAGGATGCTCAAAGCCGATTAATTCCATGGGAGTGGGAACACTCCACACTGTCCAAGTTACATGCAGCATCTGGCAGGATCAAGAGACAAAACAAGTAGGAACATTAAAAAAAAAAAACCAAAACGCAACAGGAACAATATTTGACTATGTGAGTACACAAAGGATCCACAGAGAGAAAGTAATGATGAATTTTGGCCCTTGACTGGTCTGTTTGCTTGCTGAACAAATAAGGTAAACAGAAAATAACTCATGAATGCCAAACAGCAAATATCTCATATGCATAATTTATTTTAAAGTTTATTGCGTCACATTATACAAGCATTAAACATGGCTTTATGTTGATGATTATTTTTAAAGTGTGAAAACTTGACATTCTTCTCCATAGGATTTTTCTATTTACAGATAAACAATCTCTCTATATACTTTATATATATATATATTATATATGGTAAATAACATAACTCCCCTCAGAAAGATTTAAAATAAAAAAGAACTGATTTGTAAACACGATTCCTGTTGTAGTATTTGGTGGCTTGAACGCAGATGATGTTCTATACCTAGGATTTTTCTTTTGTCAAAGTATCCACGTTGTTCATTTACATTTTTTATTCTAAGATCTGTAAAACCAGCATGGGACAGAATGCAAAAAACGTAGCAAACGGGCTGAAAAACAGTCCCCATATACAATTTTTTTCCTTGGTTTTAAAAACTGGCGTGTAACTGCTCATGAAGTACATGCTTGCTGTCAAGAGTGGTCTATGGAGATCAATCCTATGCTGATAGCAAGAAGATTTCACAGTAAATCCTTTGATGTGTGCTGTCCTGCTTGCTATGTAAAATGTCTGTGGCATGCATTGAGGTTGCATTTTTTTCTCATTCCCTTGAAGGTAGTGCTCTTGTGGAGCTGGAATAAGTAAACAACATATAGGACGGTCACCTGGAGGTTTAAACAAAACCCATCATCAGATCAGAAAGAGGGGAATGGCATAAAATTGCTAGAGACCATTAAAATTCCATTTATTATTATTATTAGCCTATTATTTGTATTATATTTTCCTAATTAATAAAATAAACAAAAAGGGGTCATCTTTCCTGAGTGTTCTGCTATATAACTCTGAAGGACTCAAGGAAAATCTGTTCAGCAGACCAGCAGCACAGCAGCCTCGGTGGGTTGACTGGTCAACATTAAGCAACAGAAATGTGCTCAGATCTACCAGGGAGGTCAGAGCCCCTTTCAGCATCGCACTCAGCACAAGCTTGGTAAGCAGCCGACTCGTGTTCTCATTTAGAGCAGAACAGGACACAACTTCTAGCAATGTGTTGTCATGAAAATTCATCATCATGTAGCTATGTTGAAAACTAATCTCAAAAGCGATTATCATCTATTGTATTTCTGCTGCACTTTATTTGTTTTGGCACATTATATTGCGGTGGTTCCTCTGAGTGGAAGTCAGTTTATATTCTACTAGGTTTCAGTTCAGTTCTCGGAAGTTATTGAGATCTACGTTGACAAAGCTGTATCTTACTGCAGGAGTTTGCAAAGGTTCACACTCATATGGGTGACACTGATTTTATGCATGACTCATGTCTCACTTTACTACTCAGCAAACAGTTTCTAAGCTCTTGTCATCTGTTGTTTTAGATATTAAACAGAGGGTATGCAAACTAATCCAATTGCTCATGTGAATTTGGTCTGAATGTGACTTTGCACAGAAATCGCGCCCGAGAGTTCCCAGACTGCAAGTGCAGTACACACCTGTACGTGGTGGATAGTAGGTACTAACCCATCCGATGTGTGTATCGGAGGATGATATTGCCTAATCCCCACCCCCTATTTACAGAGACAGAAATACCCCCATTTCTCCACTGCCCCCATGGGATCTGTCCACAGCTGCTGTAAGCTGAAGCAAAGATGAACAAGTTCGATTCCTCATTAGGCAGGAATACACCCCACAACCACTAGTTGTGCTCCCCACTCAGTTTGGCACCGCATCAGCAGAGAACAGATTAATGCTGAAATTCCTTCAGTGCTAATGTTGCCTCATGGGACCTTCAGGCTTGGGCCAGGAGCACCTAATAAATGGGAGCTGCTGTGCCATTTATCCTCTTCATGTAGGATGATGGGTCACTACTGGAGGAGGTTCCTTGCTGTGAGGAAGCAAAGTGTAGGCAGGCAGTGGCTACCGAGATGAGGGTCCATACATTTTCTTCCATCCCTCTCCTTCCTCAAGCCATATTACCTTTCACTAAAACCTTCCCCCTGCATGGAAATAGCACAGTTCTCCCTTGCAGTGGAAAGAAGTTAATAGATCTAATGTGGCAATATGGGGTCTTGGTGCAAGTGGGCCTGATGTCTTGTGGAGCTTGAGGCATCCATCTACAGGGTCTTGCATTGTGCGGTCTGTCCAGAAGGGCAAATTCTAGCCCTCCTATCAAATGATTTCCAGGAGAACTTGTAGAAACAACTTGCTGAATTTTCTTCCCTCTTAAATATCTTCAACCAACAAGGTCACAATTCCTTAAGATTTCTGAGAAAACTGTAACTTTTATGGAGCTCCAGTTATTTGGAAAAGGGCTAAGCAAATGGATCAGCTCCAGTATTTTGTTTCTAGCTGTATCCTCACCAGGACATAGGCTTCCTTCCACTTGGCTTCTTACAGTCTTGGCTTTTGAACTTCCTTCTTCATGTTGTAGCTGATTATGCCACTGCATGTTCTGCAAGAATCGCAGTGTTATCACTTTGAGGCAAGAGGTGGTAGAACTTTCACAACACTCAGCATTTTGATTCATGTTGCTCCACCCAACACTTCTGCAGTCTTCAGATCTACAACTCCACTATTTTGGGTTAATGATCTGGGAAATTTTTAATTTCTTAATGCTAAAGAATTTGCAAAAGGATATACACAGTGGCCCATTTTGCACCAATCTAATTCTGCAGCCTGTGTAGAATTGCTCTGCATGAAGGATTTCAAGCTATTTCATCCTACAGTCTATTGTTTTATTTTCCCGCTCCACCCCTTCCTAGATAATGGAAGGATGAATAAAGAAAACGTTACGAGTGTAGAGATTCTGGGTGACTGTGTTCTTTTGCTCTGCTGACCTTGTTAATCTGTTGGGTTTTTTATTTTACTTATGCAGACAGATCTTTAAGACACAGTCTGTCTTCTGCTATATATATCATACACCCTAATTCCTGACGAGGCCTCAATGGGATCTTGCAATAGAAATACACGGGCAGCTCTGGGCAAGGTGCCCTAGCCTGATTTGTTTCCTTCAGAGACCAGGCAATCCTATAGCTGAAAAGGCACTGTTCAAATCTTTAAAACATATTACCCACTTTTCACAGTATCATTTCCAAATAAATGGCCCTACAGTTAGATACCTCTGGCCACATTTAGATGCTTGTCTATCTGTCAGCACTTCTGCACACCTAAATTTTTCAGCATTGTTAGACCAGTTGATTAGACTCATGATCAAGCATCTCCTCCTAAAAAATACTTCAATATTGTTGGAGACATGCAAATGGTCCGCATATGTGACCTTAACTCGTGGTAAATGCAAGCTAACACAGTTTAGTCCACTGTGGAAGAGGGCAATGTTGCCATGCGTGTGCTGCAGGTGGTGGCCACGCACATGGGCAAGTACTGCCGTAGGGCCAACGCGCAGTCACTGGTTATGAAGTAGCAACTTGGTTGTGAGAATGAGCCATAAGATCACTGAGTTCTGTAAAGCACTGTAATATATATAACTGCTTTGACGTTCAGGACCTTGAATTTAAGTCAGGGCCTGGGAGCTTCCTGGAAAGAGTAGAGACTTAAGCATTGGTCTGATCTGCTCATGCTGACATTAGCTCTGGAGAAGACTAAGCCTTGCAAGACCTCTAATTTCAAAAGGCTTATGACAATATTCGCCCTATTAAACATGGGCGCACATGTGCTAAGTGCACACAACATTGACTGACTATCCCTTTCAGTGCACTCTTTGCTGTAGAAAACCAGGAAGTTTTTATAAACAGAATTCCTATCTTCTTTTAAGCAGTTTCTCCCTCACCCCATCATGGCCACTCATTGTGATAAGATTTTCCGTTCTTCTTCCTTTCCTTCCGCTCTTTCTGCAGGCGTTCTAGTTCAGCTTCATACATCATTTCCTGAATCAGGTACTTTTCTCTTCTCATCCGATCTCTCAGATCTTTTGGGAGATCTGGGATTAAGTAGGAAATCAGGTGCTTTATGCAAAAGACAAGGTGCTGTGAAAACAAAAAAGGGATGAAAAATTAAAATCTTAGGAAGAAAACAAGTACTTTGCATACCTTCCAAAAACCCTCTCCTTCCAATTCACAAAAAGATGCTGTCTTAGAACTAAATCCATTGCTACATTTGAAGAAACCAAACCCACAAAAACTCCAGCCAAAGTCAGTAAAGTCTGGATTGCAGCAAAGGTTATGAGCAACTGGGTTCAAATAAGGGCTCAAAACTGTTGTACGACCTGTGTGTTCAAACCCCTGAGATCACAGTTTGCTATAAGGTTGTTTGGGTAGGGCCTGGTATTAGTGGGTAGCTCTGCAGCAAGAGGAGGATCAAATGATATAATACCTCCTGTTGCCAGGAAACCCTTGCATCAGTATCGGAACCAATGAATTACCTATGCAAAACAAAACATTTTTTCTTATACTGTGTCTCTCATCCAAAGACATATTCCCATTTACTAAACATCACAATTAAATACAAGGTACATGATCTTTTGTCCCTCATAATTTAGGCATGCCACAGCAAAGCTTGAGTGTGATGGGGGAGGATTGCTTGAGTGTCCTTTTTTGTTTGATCAAAGATGCTGCTCGGAGATTTACTCACTCCACGTGAGAGGAGGAACACAGAAACAGAAAAATCCTCCATCTCAGAAAGGACACTCGTTCTAGATTGGAGAAATAAAGGTACTTCTTCTCCAAGCAGAACCCTTCCTTTGAAAGCCACTGAAAGGAGAATGTAACATGTTTTCCCATGTATTCTTCCCTCATGAGAAATAAACCTGCAATACTTTAATTGCTGTTTTTTTGCCAAACCTAAAAGAAGAAAAAAAGCTGCTTCTGTCAGTTTAGCCTGGACAAATAACTCCTTTTGCAGTGATAGGAAATACTTTTATTTGTTTTTGAGGGAGGTCAAGATAGCAAAAAGAACCACACCCACAGTGCCAAAAAGGTGCCTGAGCTTCATAGTTACTTAATTTATGAAAAAACCTACCTTGAGCCACTTATTTCTCAGTGCAATCTTTTACTGTAATTGCTGTAGCAATCACAATACACCCATTAGTGTTTTCCACAGAGAAAGACAGTCATGGTTTCTGCTGCAATTACCTTTTTGATTTCATAGATAGTTAAGGAAACAGTTTGCAGTGCCAATAAACAGAGTGCTCCCTGTTGAGGGAGACAGCTACAAGCCAGCCTATGGCTTTGATTGGGGCAAAGCAAAGTCAAATCTCTCATGCAAGTATTGGGCAGACACAAAAAGCTATTCCACAGCAGGCTGCAAATTTGGCTGGGCACAGAGACTTGAGCAGGGCTGATTTTTCTTGCCTCAGTTGTCTTTGCCCTTATGCCGTGCTGCCTTTATGTCAAGTGTGTATCAAGAGGCCAGGCTCTCTTCAATCTTAAAACTGCTTAGGCTGACCAGCCAAGGCAATTCTTGTAGTCCTTTTTGGAGACAGATACACTGGCTGTCAGTACCGACAGCTCAAGAAACAAAGAAGAGATCAAGCCCAGCAGGCCTCTGCCAAATATTTATTTCTTTCTTTCCTTCTTTCCTTCTTTCTTTCCTTCTTTCCTTCTTTCCTTCTTTCTTTCTTTCCTTCTTTCCTTCTTTCTTTCTTTCCTTCTTTCCTTCTTTCTTTTTCTTTCTTTCTTTCTTTCCTTTCTTTCCTTTCTTTCTCTTTCTTTCTTTCTTTCCCTTAATGTTTCCCTGAGTGTGGCAGAGATGATGCAAGAGCCAATCTCCTTACAACCAACCTCTAATGAGTTAGCCTCTAATGAGGCTAACCTCTAATGAGGAAGGAGAGAGACCAACCTGCAGTGCCATACTCCCCCTTCATCTGGGAAGGGCTGAAAATGACAATCAGGGGGAATTCGCTGCAGACCTCAGGCTTCTGCTGAGCCACCAAGACATCCCTATGCAAGAAATAATCTAGAAAATGTTTCCCCTTCACCTTTCTTCTAATTCAAATGCTTCTGTCCTGTGATCCAAAGAGGTGCTTTGAAAGCTCAGTTCAGAATGAATTTACACAGTAACGTGAGTCAGAAATGCAGTATGTGCTCATGAACATTATGCCAATAATTTATGGTGATTACAGCTTCCATATCTGTGTTGGATGCCCTGTTGCTATGATTTCAGAGCAGAGGATTGAGTAAAGAGTTTTTAAAAATCGTTTGTTCCCTGTTTGCCTTCTTCACAGTGTAAAATGCATTTCAGACTGCTTGTGCTGGAGAGATGCTGAGCGCCTGGTTTCTGGAAGGGATATTTAAGCACCTGAAATTCAGGCCTTAGGAGCTGTATTTTGTTCTGTAAATGATCTCATCCTATTTATCTACCCTCCTGTCTCTCTTTTTGAAAAATTAGCATGGGAATACCAGTCATGTGAAGCTGGTATTATCTTATCTGGTTTGTCTTAAAGATTTCTGAGATACTGACAGTAAGTACTAATATTATGAACATCGGCAAAAGTATTGAATCCTTTTCATCGTCGTCATCTTTGTGATGCTAATCATTCTGGGGAAATGAATGGTATTAAAAAAATAGAGACAAAAACTAGATGTGTAAATACTGTAACTTAAACTATCTTCATTTTTCAGTTGTTCAGATTTCATCTTTTCTTCTCATGTTCCTTCACCCTTTCCTCGCATATTAGTCAGCATATGACTTCCCAGCCTAGACAGGTTATGAATGTCAGACCTCAGAAAGTAAATAAAAGCTTCATTTATTTCCCCTTTTTGCAAGTCACTGTTACAGTTTTTAAAGTGCTGCTTCTTTTTCTTAGAACCTAAAATCCTGTTACTGTTCAGAAAACAGATCTGAGAATACAAAGCACAATATAAATAGCAGAAACTAAGACAAAAAGCTCAATAGCTGCCATCATAGATCAGCCCAATGAAAAAGCTTCAAAGGGAAATTTGTTTCATTTTTTTTGTTTTTGTTCTGACACCTGAATGGTCACTGACCTCAAATACAATAATGAAAGCCAGCCGTGCTGCTAAGACATGCCAGAACTGCAGTGTGTAACCGTAGGGCACTGGGGAGTGAGGAGGGTCTCGGTAGTCCCTGTACCTGAAAGACAAGCAGAGTATAGTAGTTAGCAAGCTCCTACCCTGCTGCCTGGGAGGAAGGCAAAACCAAAACCCAGCTGTTCTTGATCATTGCATTTTCTGCACCAAAATTATCTCAGTTCAGACTGTACAAGTTACCACAACGCTGCTTGCTGAGCCTGCACTAGTGTTTTATTTCAGATCAGGCGCATGCTTTTTGAAGCAAGTGTCCTGATCAGCTCCACTCGCCATGCTTTGGTTCACCCAAATGGGTTTACTTTCAGATAAAACCTAATGGTAAGATGCACTCCAGGAGTGCACTTCATGCTCCAGCTGCTAATGGAAATTCAGTGCAAAGGACCAGGCCAGTGCCTGTATGAAGCAAAACTGCTGAAGCAAATACAGAGGATGTTGGGTGCTCAACACCAGCAGTTTGACCCTAGAGCATCTCCCTTGGCAGCGCAACACGTGCCTTGCAGGCACCTCCTCAGAACATGGAGTAGGGTGGGATGCTCTGCTGTTTTGAGGGCCACTTTCTTCCTGCTATAAGTTCATTTTAAAACCATAAATGTCCCCAATTTTGTTAGCCTGACAGCCCTCCCAAAATCCATATAAAACTGCGTCATGGGCTCCATCTGGCCCTTGGTCAATTAGTTGGCCACCCCTGGTGTAAAGCATGACTCATCCTAACTTTAGTGGAGCCAGAACTGCACCTCTTGGTATACCAAAAGGGCAAGGGCCGCGTAAGAAAGGGATCTAGTGTTTTGTCTCACAGAATGTTTCTTTAAAAGACTTTAGGTCTCAATAACCCACCATTAAGTCTCAGAAAACCCATTATAAAAAATATTGAAAATACCATAGTAAATAATACACTTAAGCTTGATCTCTAAGTTAGTTTCAAGAAAATAAAGAAAACTCAGATGAGCAAAAGAAATAAACTGTTATTTCATCTCTGTGATAATCTGTGTTTCTCCCTGAAGGTTCACCTTCTTAGATTGCAGAGGGTGCTGCACCAAATGAAATAAACTGTGTCTTGACATCTTAGTCAGCAACAAACCTCTCTTAAATTGTAGTATCTCTAGTGCAAGTTCTTAAAACTGCAAGCAGCATTCTGACTTCATAGTTTAGAATGTTTTACAATATCCTAAGCATCCTGAAAACAGAAGTCCCTGGATCAAGTCCCAAGTCAGTAAAGTATGTCTCCTCTTTGTACTTGCTAGAAACCAAGCACTACACATGAAGAAATGGGGAAACCTTTTATAACCAACCAGAATAGCATGGCACCATCTGGGTTCCAGACGAGCAGAAGTCAATTGAATATGGCCACTGTTTTTGTTCAGACAGGCTGCCTTCCTGGAAAAATGCCTACACTATTGCACAGTAGAACATAGTATTTCCTTACCTCACTATCAATATCTGGCTTGAAGTGCAATTAAAATGACTGATGTTTTAGCAGAATTCAGGTAGGTTAAGTAGCTGATAAACTCAGCTAAAAAAAGTAAGACATTAGTTTCTTTCAAGGGTAGATATACATAACAATTCAGTGTCCCCCAAAAGAACAGACTTATCTTCTGGAGATTTATGGCACCAATTTTAATAGTGTTCTGTTTATGTGATATTGAGGGGACAACTGTTTTTACTGATGGGATTTCCACCATTGGCTTTAAGTAGCAGCAACCTCATGCTTGAAGTTGTGGAAGAAAGGAATTAAAGAGGGAGAAGAGGATGAACAGAATTACAAAACATTGTTAAATGGTGCTATGGCAAACAATGTGGAATGGAGTATTCTCAAAGTGGTTCTGCTCCACAGAAAATGTTACCTATGGATTCAACGTTGGGATGTTCTTTCTGCCAAGTAAGTTGCAACAGACTTAAATATCAGTTAGTTAAATGAAAGCATTAATGTCACCCCCCCAGTTCATTATTATACCACTCAAACTTATTATTATTAATAAAAATGCCACAGTATCACAAATTATCACTGACTTTTGCTGTGTCACAGAGTATCTTTTGTTCTTTAGGCGCTCATAAAAGGATATTTCACTTCTTCACAGTGAACAATACTGAGACTAAGTGTATCTGCAGCTACCAGGACTCATGCTTGTAAACCAATGTTGCAATAAAAAAATGGTTGCTGTATTTGTTGTTTGGTATTTTTGGTTGGGGCCCCATTTAAGACCTTTATGTAGATCCTTGATTCTTTGGACCATTAAAATCAATCAGGTGCAAATCTGTCATTACAGACTAGTCTCAGACTGCTATTTCTCCAATCTGTTGGCTGAGGACAAAGACATACAGATAATTAACTGCTCATTTTATTTCTATTGAAACCACAAGCATATGATTATTACTAATAATTACACCTGTAAGCAGTGACATAAAAATATTAACCATTCAACAATTAGGAAGTGCTGGATTTGAGGTTTCGCAAAGGTAGCTTAGGACAGACCATGTTTATGCCTGGCAGACCTGTGAAATACCTCAGTGTGGTCACTTTTGTGCAGCCTTGACTTCCTTGTGCATGTGCTATGATATAATCTGATTACAGTTTCATGTCACTGGTACCTAAGTAACCAGTCACCTGTTATTTGCCCTTTGATACCGTATTTCTCCATGATGGTTGTGTCTGATTCAAGCCATGACACAACAGAAATCCTGCATTAGGAACACCTGCCAGATATCCACTTTTCATCTTCTCCTTTGTCTAAGGAATCATGCAGGTAACAGCTAAGCAGTATCGTGACCATCTCCCTGAAGAGCACAGTTAATTCTTTCCATTACTGTTTGTTAAGTTCTGAAAATTACTTCCAACCCAAATTTATCATGATGCTTCTCCCTTGCAATGTCTTAAAGCGGAGAGGTATTTTGATCAGATACTTACCTGCAATATTTTAATGGTGAACCAGAGAATTCACTTCCATTTGATGTTGGCTCTGAACGGTTTTCAAAGTCAGACACCAGAAATACTGATAAACTGGCATTAACATAGCCAACCATACACCTAGAGGGGAAAAAATCCTGTAGTCAGGACACAGCAAGGTTTATCCATTAACTGTTGTACCCCGGAGGATGTTCTTTGGGTTTCATGAAATCCACAGTATAACTGTGATGCTTATTAATATTTGAAAGGGATGTTGAGGCAATATAAAAGAAATGCTCAAGTAGGTCAGATGGACAATAAAAGTGAAGCAATGATGGATTTCTATGGGAGAAGAAACAGTGAAGACTGGGACTTGTTACTTTTGAAAAGAAAAGTCACCTAAAAGGTGACACAAAGGTAGAGAAAATAATGAGTAACACTATGAAGATAATCAGAATATTCCCACTGTTACCCTCATGGTACTAGCACAAATGGATGTTAAATCAGATGGAAAGGCAATACACTTAAAACAGCTTTTTACAAAATGTCCAGTTAATCAGAGGAACCCAGTACTAAAAGATCCCAGGGTGGCTGAGTACTGGGAGGGTCAGGCAGAGTTTGGAGGACACTGACTAAGAGAATGTACATTGCCTGACGAAGGGCTGTGGGAGTCACAAGAAGGCTCAAGTTTGGCGTTAGTAAAGCTGAGGAGAGATATGACAAATGTATTGTACTGTTCATTCTGCACTGCCCAAGCACAGGTAAGTCCAGGCACACTGCTCAGCTTGGTGCAGAGTATAATGCACAGCAAGGGTTGGGCTGGTTTTTTTTTCAGCAATGGATTTTACAGTCTTTGAGAAATTACATTTAAACACCATCTGGCTTTGTCTCAAAATCTCCATACTGATTGGATTTGGAACTTAATTTAATTACAATATTTTTCTAGTATCACTGCGTGTTATATGGATCTAATACCTACAGATGTTTTTTGACAGAAAAAAGCACATCTCATTTAAGTTATTCAATAGCAGATGTTCTTGACTCCTAAATTTGAGAAAATTCAATATTCCTGTGGATTTTTTAATAGCTTCCTGCTTTTGTAACAGCACTTATTAATAACAATTCCAGAATGCTGACATAAACAGTTTTTATCCAAGTTGGTTCCTTCAAAGGATTACTATCTGATGGTTTCATCTAGACATTCACTCAGAAAAGCAGCAGAAGTGTGAAAACACTGTACAAGAGATTTATGAAAAGATAAGAGCTTCCTCTGTGAGCCAAGCTACTTCCCCTATGCAGAACTAGTTTCAAAGCCAGTGAGTCATATCTGAGTCTTCATAAAAATAAAATTTCTAAAGGTTTTGTTCTCTCATGCATGGTGGTCCTGAGAAAATCAGTAGCAAGGAAAGGTGCTGAAGGTGCCTCAATGTCCTATGGATCTTCATAATGGCACAAGCAGAGTCACATGCTCAGGAACAACTGGCACCAGACCAAACACTTTAGTCGTGAAGGGACTTTAACTCTTCATGAAAATAAATGGAACATTTCCCCTGGCACCGATTAAAATGCCAAGCTCCTTGCAGGACAGCAAGTTAGCAGAACTGCTAATCGGGAGCTGCCACACCAGCTGCCCTTCTTCCATCAATTTGATTAAACAGTATTGACAACCAAAAGACAGCAAAAAAGCAGCAACAGAAGAACTTGCTTTCTGTAGCAGGGAATAAAAATCAATCTGCCGTATGTCTAATAGCAGAATGTAAGCTCTCTGCCACTGTCTACTGTTTAGCTTGGGGTTCTTTGAACAGTAGGGTGCTTGCTAATGGAACTGCTAGGAGATCATTTGCAAACTGTGCCTATTTGTGTTCAGCTGGATTCAGTGACCTTCCTGGAGTCCAATAGCCTAGATTTTACAAGTTGCCATGTAGCAGCTATACTCATACTTGCTGGTAGTGTGCACACGCCAATATAATCTCAGTGTTTAGCAACACTGAAAGAAAATCCACTTAGGCGGCAGGGATTCAGTTCACAAATGTCTCCTGAAAGATTTAATCTAAGGACTCTAGTTTTAGCAGAAAAACAAATTACTTTGCTCTGTAAGTACATCTCGATTTATTAGTTGGGAATTGCTTCCTCTTGTTAGACACTACTTTTTTTGAGCAATACATGCTGAATACTACATCAGGAGAAAAAGCCTAGTGAATAAGTTTAAAATGCTCATTGAATCTGTAACTGATAAATACCAGCAGTGCTTCAGAATGAAAAGAGAGTTATATCCATGTACACCAGCTGGGAAGTGCAGCTTGTGCGGCATACTGTTACATACACCAAATTTCTGTAACAGCTCTGCCATGTTTTCCTTGAATTAACATCATAAATTATAGTCACTCAGCAACCCATTCTGTGAATATGCAAAGCATCAATATCTATGGCTGATATCTCTCACCTAAGCACAAACAATAAATTGGGGTTAGTGGAATCAGAACATACACAGACAGTACTGCTGTATCTATTCAAGTAGTACGTGATTTTCATGCACATCTGTTTTCCCAGAGAAAATCTTACTTTTGTCCAGCTTCTCCTTGGCCAGCACAAGGTCCATATTTGTACGCATAAACAAGGCGAGGGATGAAATCTGATGTCACAGCTATAACAAATGCATTTGTGATAACAGAAAGAATTCCAATGCCTTCCAGGATCCCGTACCAGATTCCTGTTCAACAAGGAGAGTATGTTAGTTCCAGGAAAAACAAGAACCAAAGTGCCTGAGAGACTTATGCTCTGAAGCAGTTTTCCCCACCACCCAAGGTCTTTTTATGTAGTTTCTATCCTAGAGTCACTAAGTAAAAATAATTTTTCCTACTGAACAGCAGGACCTCAGTGGACCAGATTTCTGTTCCCACTAGGTGGGAATTTTGTTTATCCTGCAAATAATCTGAAGGAAGCTGCAAAAATGCTCATGGAGGCCTTGGCTCCACCAAGCCACATAACCACGTGGGCAGTTTTAAGCAACGCTGTAAGCCTCCCTGCTTATGATGATGGGTATTTAGCCTTTGAGGAGGGTCTGCCAGGGCAGACATGAATATATGCAATCCATGATCTGCCTGTCACAGGGGCCTTGTGTGTACCTCATGCACAGCTGGTCAGCATGCACCTATCGGCATCAAAATGTTCATGGCATGCTAATGCTATACAATGGCACACAGCCCCCAGGCATCACCTGGGCTTTTTGGCCCATCCTCAACCACCTGACAGATCTTGTGGTACAGGCACACAGCAACTCCGGTCATGAGGACCATCACTGAGAACCACACCAAAAGAAGGTTAGATATACCCGTTGATTTTAATGAGGCATCAAGCTGTCACTGAAAACTTTGCTGAATAGGGAGTGAATGCAACTTATTTTGAGAAATCACACCTGAATCGGCCTGAAAAAAAGATCTATTTTTTGTGCTTTTATTATTTACATTATATAACTGTTTTTTCAGGAATTATGTCTGCAGCGTATGCTGTGTACTGGCTGATGTCCAGGCTTGTACCTAAACTCATAGATCCACACTGTTCACATGCAAAGCTTTACTCAGACACAGAATTTAGGTACATGGTAGACCATTCTGAGAGCACAAAGCCTGGGCTTCTGCTATTTCATGGTGTGGGCTACTGGTTTTTGCAATGCAGATGGGCAGCGAGGTATCCTATTTACCACTCCAAAGAAACCAGGGATTCAGCATTGGGCAGATGTCTTTGTTTTACAGAGTTCTTCCTAAAGGTGTTCTGCTTTTGCACACTGCAAGGACAGAAGAGATTTATAGTCAAAATACGTTCGGAGAGCCCTTGCAGTAGTATGTGGCTGGGTGACCTCAAAGTTATGTGAACCCTGTGTTTAGTAATGTAGGTGTGCCTCACTGAGAGCAAGTCATCTCTTGGGATCTACATCCACCCTGTCTGACACACCAAGGACCTAGAGGGCATAGCCCCTGAGTCACAGGGGAACTTGGTTTCAGCCAGGTAAACATAAAACACAGAGGACCCTTATAGGATGGTGGCCGCTTTAACTTCACTTTTTAACTTATTATGTTCAAACTGAGCAGCGGCATGAGTTCACACAGTGTGTCTGCCACAAGGAAAAACCTGCAGAGAACACTGATCACTTCATTAAACCATCTTGGCTGTCAAGTCACCCAGAAAATCATTAGAAGACATTTTCCAATATAGACTATTAACTGCATAAGTAGATTGGCATCAGATACTTGAATTTTTCTGGAACAAACAAATAGTGTGTTGTTAATGGGGAAGATGGCTGAAATACCTTAATCTGCTGTTACTTGAAGTGGTCAATACTTTGCCTTAAAAATAACACACACGCATAACAAACACACATACAAAGACCTCACCTATATCTTTGGCTCTTGAAGCTAAAGGTCTTCTCCACTGGGTAACAAATTTGTACGCATCAAGCCGAATTTCAATAATATTGTTAAGTAAGGCCAGAAGCGGTGCCAGTGGAAAAGCTGCCACAAAAATGGTTGTGAACCCAAACTGAAGAACTAGGAAAAAAAAGGAAAGATCACAGTATAACTGTTAAGATCTAATCCCAAGGTCTAAGATACCAACTAATATATGCATACAAATGTTATGTATAAATATACAGACATTTCTTACTATGCCGTACCATACAATAGTCTAGTGACACTTGTACAGCAATTTGTTGCTGAAAGTTCAGAGCAAGGATGACAAGAACAAATGCACATCTGTCCCCATGATGGATAGCAACATCTAGATTTTGTAATTTGGAGTGAAGTCTGGAGGTGGACAAACTGTACTTTTAGAAAGGGACCTTTTTACTCCAGCATCAACTAGGGTCTCTCAATACCTGCAAATATTAGGGCTGAATACATTCCTTTTCATAGTACAGATGGGCAGCAGTTTGAAACTTTGTGCAAGTTTCTAGAGGCAGGTTTTCAGACTGCTAAATTTCACATTAATTTGAAAAGAATTACGCAAGGGAGAAAAGAAAAAACAATCATGACATATGCAGTTCAGTCACATAGGGCAAAAGTTCTTGTTCTTCAACATTTCTTTGAGCAGTTATCCTCCCCTCTCCTCTGGATAGAGCAATGCCTTTTGGCAGCAAGCTACTTCGTAAATGTGAGGTAGTAAACGATGGTGAATTTTAAACATAAACAAGCATGCAGGTCTGTACCATGCAGTTTAAAAATAAAAGCCCAAGGGAACTTCCTTTAGTAAATAACAGCAAAGTTCTTCAGAAATGTATGCAGGTGAATGTATGCAGGTGAAGAGGTGGGCTCTGGTTTGGAAAACGATCTTCTACACACAAAGCCAGAATGAGAAATGTTTCATAGATGCCAGGTTAGCAAACCAGCAGCAGTGTGGTTAGCTACACTGGTTTGGTTTGGTTCTTACAAACTCACTCCCATTCCTCACCTGACCTGTGAGAATGAAAACCATTTTGCAGCCTCTTTAGCTTCATACAGCAATAATTAAAAGAATACACCAGCCCACATCAACAAAAAAAAGCAACAAAATTAAAATCTAGTGAAAGAGAGAGAACAAAGGTCGGTGCCATACTCATTTCTAGGTATTCATCAAAGAGTCCATAAGCATTCATAGGTTGCAGATTGTAGTCCTTTTCCCACTGTGGGAAGCTTGTTTTTCTCTGTGTGCCATACTCTTGTCGTAGTTTTCTCCTGGTCCACCAGTTTTGAATTAGCCTACATTTTCAAATAAATTAAAGAAACAAGGTAAATAATATTAGTGGCTATTTATCACAAAATTGGAAGAGGCTAAGTGTGCACAAGATATCTTGGAAAATTAATTTCCCAATGCACAGGAAAATGGAGCGTTAGTAATACATGTGGCTGATGACACGGCATAATAGGTATGAAAACAGGTATGGCTGATAGGCTGTAGTCCAGGCCTAGATGTTGTTAAAATGGTGGAGAGATTTTGACATCTTTTCATTATTTATTTACCTTTTTTTTCTCTACACAGAATGGCAAATCACTTCAGGGTCTGTTTATATAGCAGAATGCAATGCTGTGTGGAGATAGTTGAGCTCTAATTGAGAAATCAACAAATAGAGCGCTAACGCTGCTTGATCCCTTCCTGTGTGTGAGCCAGCATCTCTACAAGGCTCTACAGTGTGCAGGGTAACAGTCCCCAGGCAATCCTGGAAGGGAAAAAGCAACCTTGCGTGGTGTCTGCAGCCAAACATTCAGAGGAACAAAAGGCAGAAAGAAGTGTGTGGACTACTGACAACCTGTGGTGGCCGAGAGGTGGATGGCTGACATGAGAGCTATCTCCATCTCAAGGAATGGGGGAGCTGTACTGGACTTCAGGGGGAAGATAATGTTCCTGAAGAAACACACGTGTAGGGGCACCATGGGAGGCACTGAGCCAGAAGGGAAATGAGTGCTCCCATCTGAAATAAACACCTTTGCCTCTCCAGGTCAGGGAGTTGCACTGGTTTGGCCAACAAAGGACATGAATTACAGCTAGTATAGAGAGCAAAAAAAGACCCATGACAGAGATTTTCGCCCTAGCTGTGGCTGGGGCCTTCATCTCAGCGAGACAGGAGATGATGGCTTACCCAAATAATTAAATCCTTTCCTTGACTGTGCTTCGCTTCTTGCCTTCACAGTGGCTTGCTCTGGTCTGTGAATGGTAGGCAAATGGCCATCGGATTTGGACAAGGGTTGGCCAATTGCTTGTTTTCTTAAAGCTTAGAGATTATTTTTCTATTCAGGCCATTTACCAGGGAGATTATAGCTTTTCCTGTCTTCCTTAAAGAAGCGTAGGTGCAACTGAGTGCAGGGCATTAAAATCTAGAGTTCAGAAGTGCAAGAAAAAAATGTAGAAGTATAAGCATGGACTTCAAGCCAAAATTTGGAAGTACAAGAAATTATTAAAATATTTGGGTTTAGCAGCTTGCAATCAGTCACTTGTGTGTAAAAAGCCTAAAAAGGCCTTTCCTGTGAATTACCATGGTTGTGACTGATGAAATATGGGACAGTTAATGGTATATCTTTGCAGTCCACAGCACCCTTTGGGACTTTGCCTCTCGTGTCCTGCCTGTGAGAAAATGAGAGGGCTGAGAACTGAATTCCTGCAAAGGGAGCAAATTGAGGGGGTGATGTGGGTGGGAAACCAATATGCTGAGACAGATCCCAGTTGACTTCCTCCTTTGTGAGAGGGAAAACCCATAACCAGTGTTACTAAATACCTAAGACTCCTAGTAAAATTCAGAGATGTCATTTTCTGATTTATGTGTGAGCCAAATGTGAGCAATGCGATGTAATATGGTTTTAATATGAATCTATGTTCTTCCAAGAAAAACATCAACTTGAAATTGCAGTTTTCCACCTCCAAATGAAGCAATAGTTTATACTTTCTTCCTTATTGCAAATGTATCTATGCAGGAGAGGAGAACTGATGCACACTTTCAGACATTTCGAGGGGGTGTTTCTATGAAGCAGAAGCATCACTCTGACATGCCAGTATTTGTATTAAAAATGTAACCACTAAACAATCAATGCTCTAGCACGCACCCTAGGGCCTCTCTTTGATATCTTTGAAACCTCGTTTTTAACTCTCAGGCAGAAATTTCAGAGGAGAAGCCAATGCCCCATGTATCGGTGAGAAATGTGATGGCAGGCACTGGGCTTCCTGTCACCAAGGAACACTTGGTGGCATTTCTGACTTGCCCTGCGTGTCTCTGTGGGACCACATGCCTGCACCAGAGCTGGGCTGCCACCCTGAAATGGTGCAAAAAAACACTGTCCAAAACAGGCTGCTGGTGCTCCTCTCCTAGGGCTGTCTTATGGGGAAATACTCTTTGCTATCAGCTTTGGCACTGCGCAGTGCTGGCTCTGCCTGGTTCTCAGCAGGCATTAGCCAGCACATGGTGGAGGTGCAGTGATGTTCTACTACAGACTATAGGATTGCCTCCAAATCCTCTGGCCATCCACATGGTTTTAGCTCCAATCATGCTTTTAGCAGAAATGATCATGTTTTTTTCACACAAAAAGGAAATGCACTTGCCTGCAGCATTTCAGGGCTAGAAGGTGGGGTGAAAGGTCTGGAGAGCAAATACCTCTCTCATCAGAATAAGTTGAAGCATCTCACATTGTTGTGACTGTGTATTTTGTGTTGTGATTTTCATTGTGACTCTAAAGTGAAGAGCCTGACTTCACCTGAAGCAGTTTATTCCTATTAAATCACTCGTTCCTAAACAATCTCCTCCTATCTCCTTCAGTCACCTACTTTAATCCCCTTCTGTGCTCTTTATTAGGTTTGGAAATTCCTATTAATAGGTAGCAGAAAGATCCAATGAAAACTGATAAAAGAGGCAGGGAGTGGAAAGAAAAGGATCAATACTGCTGCTGCTGTTCCCTCCTCCCCAACCCGGCTAATTCTTCCAGCTGCAAAATCCTGGCAAGTAGCACTAGGCGCAAACCCAGGAAGATGGAGAGATAGTGAGCTTTGAGTACCTTGATTGCCAGTTACTCTGTACATTTAAATAATTTACTCTGTTCTCATTACAGCTAGATGTGATCAGCACTGAGGCTGCCTGAAATTGCTTCTGCAACATGTTTCTGCAGTTCAGGGACTGAACTCTGCACTAGCTCTGCTCTGGATCCTGTAGTGAAGCAAATCCCTCTGAACTTTGCAAGGGCAAACTTTCTGACAATGTCATCTCTCTCTTATATTTTCACACTTGCTAATTTCCCTTGATGACCTGCCACACTGTCTCTAGCATCAACTGCCTATATTAATCATATTAAACATGCTCATTAAATACTAATCAATAAGAAATGAACCAATAGGAAATGAATAATCATCACCCTATTAGCTAGAGAACAGCTCCATAGGGAACTTGCCTATATACCAGTCAGTACATTTTTCTATCTCTGAGAGTGTATATGCCAGCAGTGCATTTTTTCCAGCTCCTACCTGCCCTTTCAGGCATCTTTTATCACCCTGCAAGGAGAAATCCAATTTAGAACTTACTGGCATAGCTAAAAAATGATACGTATAATATTTCCTGTGTAAGGAATACAGCACTCCTACAGCTATTTTTAAGGAGTTTTAAAACAGGGAATACAATTTAATGAAATCAACTACTTCCCATATATTATTTATTTGCTAATATTTATATTACACTTCACTTTTGCAAACTATGTTCAATGTGAAAAAAACCCTAACACCATCTATCTCTCTACATCTGAAAATCTATATTAGGAGTTTTGTATCCTAGGGGGGGATTTTCTATTGTAATGACTACTGTTTCTTGCTTTTATGTAACTGGTCATAAGAAAGCATAAACTTAGTATGCTTCTGTGACCTACAGAAGCATAGGCATGATGTTTACTTACGGGTAGCCCAGTTCCATGAAGTTATTCCAGGTCTGCTTTAGCACCATTATAATACCCATTTGCATACAGAGATCAATAAGGCATCCACTAGGGTGGCACTACAGAAAAAAAGAAGCAAAAGGTTAAACAGAAATTATGCAGAGTTTTTAAGCATTTCTCAAAGATTGTAAGTGGATATTAGATAATTTACTTAAAGGCAATTAAATGCTATTCTCTTTAATTTTTTTAAAAATATGAACTCATGGGAGCATATGAGACTATCATACCATGAGCCTTTTAAGCTTATAGTCTAATCCTCTGCAGAAGTCAGAATCAGTTGAAACCAATGCAGTTTTCACATTAGTTAATATGTTGTGCAACTATGGGTGGGACAGAGGCAAAGGCTAACAAGTTTCTTCAATGATTTCAATAGTTTTTGGGGAGGGTGACTGTGCCTCAAGTAAAAGAATGAAGAGAAAATTCCTCCTGGCTGCACAGGCAGTTTATGCCTAAAGGATAGACCTAATACAGTTTATTGAGTACTATTCAATGTATATGACTGAGTGGACTATGCAAACCTATTATCTTCTCGAAAAACTAAAAATCTCTAACTGTCAAACAACAGTTCTCAGTGTCTCTTGCTGAGTGCTTGCTTGCTTTAGCAGTGGCTCCAGGCCTTGAAGAAGTGGTGCTGCTTTTAGGAGAGATGCTCAGCTAGTACAAATTTAAGTAATTCCACAATTTTTCATCTAGTATTGGAAGAAACAGAAAAGGGCCAAAAACTTTCTGCCCTTACACAGCATTTTGCACAATTGACTTTGCAGATCCAAACAGTGGAGGTTCAAGCTGTATTGTTAGATCCTGGGTATTATGGGTAAGTCGAACAGATCACTGTCATAGAACTGGAACTACTTCTCTTTAACTTTTAGGGAGAAAAAAATTGACATTTGTTATAACCTGTAACAAAATGTGATACGAATTTCTTATACATACTGCATTATACAGTGCTCAGAAGTACGGTCCCTGCTGAGGTTTCTGTTGACCTCATTCAGCATCTCTTTAGATTAACAAGGTGGCAGATAATTTTTTTTTAAATTAACTTTTCCAGCATATTATTAAATCATCATCCTTCTACTTTTAGGAATCAGTCACACGAGCCAGTATAACATGAGAGGCAGGTGCAGTATTAATGAAGTAGCAGTGATGTTACAACCATAACATCACTAATGCACTTTGTACATTGTGGTCTGAATATGCCCACAGACACTGGACCAGACTATATCATGTTATTAAATGTCTTAGACTTGGCTTCATCCAACAGGTGAAGAGAGGGTTATTGGAGGGATATCTGGGCATTATATTCTATATTATGTTTCTCATAAGACCTAATACAGATATGGTCAGTAAAGTTGAGGCTTTTTTATTAGACATTTCTTTTATTATTAGACTTTTTTTTTTTCTCTGAGAAAGGCAAAATAGTAGGGACTACTAATAGTAGCTTCCACCAGCAACTGACCCAAACTGTAACACCTCACTGCTGCACTTCCCTCCCAAACCTGGTTCTTTGCTCCTCCCATCTCTGCTCCTGCAAATGAGGTTCTTTCCCTGTTCTCTGATGCCTCTGTGAGATGATTCAGCCCAGTAACTCATCAGAAAACTAATTCAGCCAGAAAAAGGAAGCATTTCCTG